GTGCATTTTGTAACTTGTCATAAATAGAGCATTTCTCAGTACTGTGTTATAATTCAACATTACTAATGTTGAATTATAACACAGTATTGAAAAATGCTCTATTTATGACAAGTTACCTACTCAAAATTATCTACTCAAATATGCATATTAATTTTTATTGGTCGGTACTATCACGGACTTAAATCTAATTCCGTGGTACTATCAAAACTTCTCAAAATGGACATAATCTCCAATTAGCAAAAAACAACACGGACGTGTGCAGAAATCAAGTAAAGAAAACATCGTCACACGGCGACGAGTATGCGTACAGCCGTACACTAAACTAATTTAAATGTGTTAACATGGAAATAATATTGTTGTATACCCCGCAATTTTTAAAATTACACCATTTTTGTTTCATTTCACTATTCTTACTTATTTCTAAAATTAAATTCAATATATGTTATAATGTGTGTCGGCGTTAAGAAAATAACGTAATCCGTTTTTTTGCTTTACAATGTACTTAAAACAACACAAACACATTTTTTTTTAAAATAAAACTGATTTTATTGATATGAAAGACTAAGAAGACTTAATTTGTGACTTAAAACAAATAAAAATGAAAAGAAAATACCAAACAATGTTTCGCCCTAAAAAAAATGTTTTAGGGCGAAACAACCTAGGGCGAACGGGATTTGGGGCGAAACAACCCGGAACCATCCTGGAGGGGGACATGGGCCCCTCTTTATTTTGATATTGACTAAAATTTGCTGAAATGGCCCACTGCTCTCAAATTCCAGGATTTACCATAGATGTGTATACAATAGTAGTCCGAGTTTCCTCTGGCCCTGACACCAGACATGGTCACATCTATATCTGTCAAATGTTTAAATCTGGTGTCAGAGCCAGAGGAAACTCAGACTATATATATGTAATAGGACGAGGAACAGTGATAACGATAGTGCCATCGCTGGGGCTCGAACCCTGGACCCTTGGCTATCCAGCCCGATGCTCTACCGCTGCATGAGCTAAAGGGAAATTCCCTACAGATGACGCTGAAAAATCTACCCTAAAATTCTCCTCATCAAACCGGATGTCCAGTGATTTTGCTTTAAAAACTATGGGTTTTCAGTCAATGATCGATGACTAACAAGGGAAATCATCAATAAGATCTTTCTGATATACTCTCCCCACTTTCAGGCAAACAATCGTGATCCCATTCACAAACTTCAGCAACTTTTCACTGTCATATATATGTTGGTTGACTTTCTTTTATGTTTTAACTGTAAGGTCTGATATGCCTGGACTAACTGCATTGTGGGGTCGAGCAATCTGCCAGAGATGCTGGAAACTTCAGCGCCCTTCTGCACGCCTCCTGACCTCTCTGACGGGAGAAACTGACAGATTTAACGGAGTAACAGTAGATGTTGAACAGGTGTCTGAGTCATTACATGATAAAGAGTTTCATAATCTGTTAAAGAGTATGTTTGTTTATATATTTTTGACAGTTTTACGTAAATTACAGTCCAAACTTCCATAAATCGAACTTCAAACATGCAAATTTCTTGGCATTTCAAACTTTCTGCAACTCTGGTCAGAATTTTTTCTGTATATAATTAATACTACTGATATTCCATTTCTAAATATCACTTTTATGAGTGGAACTATTTCGCTGTTTTCGAATTATGATATCGGTCGGATCTTTGTGAAAACATGGACAATTACTACAAATAAAATGAAGTAAAACAGTGACCAGTACGAGAACATTGGAAAGTCCTAGGGACATTTTAACAAAGATTTCCGAAGATCATCATTCATGAGTCGAAGTTTCAGTGTTTCAAATTTTTCCTGATTGTCACAATTAAGTTCAAAACATGGAAGTTTGACTATATATATATTGTATTATACGTTGCTTTACTATATAAAACATACATCTCTGGATGAGCCACTAATCCTGCCAAATTTGCAGCAACATCGGTCCACTATTGCTTTCTATCGAACAGTTGTTTCAAACTGCATTGATCTTATTTAATAAAAGATGCTTGCTAGAGTCAAATATATGAACAAGATTCTTTTCAGTTGGTTTTTGTTTCAGATTCTCTTCAAAAATGGAAAGCAGAAGAAATCAGTGCAGCATGGTTAAAAATTCCTATACAGTATGGACGGTTTATACCGGTTGCTGCTAAATTTGGATTTCAATTTCATCATGCCGAACAAAACAGCTGCCTACTGAAGCTGTGGATGAAGGAAGGTGGTGAGGACAAAACTCCGCGCTTTGCTACCCATCAGGTCGGAGTGGCAGGTATAAAGAACATTTCTTAAAAACCAGTGTATTTCTGTAATGACAGTGACTATCAAATTGTTCTATTGTTTTTAAAACCGAGGTCATCATGGTTTAACAAGAAGTGAAGAATAACTAAACAAATGGGGAAAATTTACAAGGAGATACTTTTCACAATTACTTTATATGAATTTATAATTTGAGATCACTTAACTTGTCATTAAAAATTTCTCTGACAGTTGAACTTCAGTTGATCTTGAATACGTTTGTTAACCCCCATACTTAGATGCATTTATGTATAAACTATAGTAATATGTTATACTCAAATAAATAAGTAACTCTTTCCAAAGATATGTTAAACACCAGTAAGTCGAATACCTTCCCCACTATATATTAAACACCTATAATTGGGTAAGTTGAATATCCCTCCCCAAGATATGGTAAACATCAATAAGTCGAAAAGAAAACTCCTGAATAAGTTGAATATCCCTTCCCAAGATATGTTCAACACCAATAACTCATAACCCTCCCCAAGATATGTTAAACGTCAATAAGTCGCATACCCATCCCCAAAGTATATTAAACACAATTAGGTTGAATGAACCTCCACAATATATGTTAAACACTGATAAGTTGAATAACCCTCCCAAAGATATGTGAAACACCATGAGTTGAATATTCCTCTCAAAGGTATGATAAACACAAATAAGTTGAATACCTGTCCTCAAGATATAATGAAGCCGAATCCCCCTCCAAAAGTAATATTA